AAGAACATTCAGATCATGCAGCATATAAATGAACCGGCAACGAATCCACTCTGTGCACGGATTCATCGATTCCTTTGGTGCACCATGATCCAATTGACTGATCTTGATCACTGATACAAGTCTGGATCATTTCAAAGAAACGTAGCCAAAAAATCCCACCACATTCTCAAAGTTAAAAGTAGACTGTTGATTCGTCTATCTCTACGCCACGCGTTCGAGTCTCTTTCGTGGTCTCATTTTCAAGGAGCAGATCTAATGACGAGATCAGGGCCGATGACACTTATTTTGAAATCAGTACAATTTTACAGTTTGCCAGCATGAAAAACAAAAAAAAACAAAAAAAAGAAAAGAAAAAAAAGTAAATAAATAAATCACTGCGGCTTGATAGTATGTGCCAGTTGCAACGCCATTAGATTTCTTGGTAAATGCGATTATTGTTTATTTAGTAGCAACATAATTTGCTCAAGGAAGCTTAGTTTTCAGTGGCAAGTTCTGTGAATTGTTTTATTCTCTTTAAAACCGTGAATTACCTTGTTTACCTTACCGTTTTGTTCAGAATGTTGAACTTGAACTAACTGAAAAATTGTGTTCGGCGTACTTCTGCTAGCTGGCTGATTTTATAACTCACATGTTATTTGAGCGGAAGGAGAAATCAGTACAAATTTTATTTGTTACTGCTCTTCAAGTTAAAAACTATTTTGCTGAGCATGTTTCTAAAACCGTTTACTCATTGCGCATCGTTATATTTCTTTCCAAATAGCGACGAAAAAGGTGCCCGAATTCTAGGATTGCAAAAGAAGTCCATCAGTTGTCACCCATCTCTCTTATTGTTAAGGAGGTCCCCCATATAATGAAAATTTCTCGTTTTTAGGTAGCAAACCGAATTGAACAAGGCCCGCCTAAAATACACTGGACGTAACAAGCCATCTTTAAGCCGACTGATTCAAACGGCATTTCTGAAGGGAGGGAGAAACTAGTTTAGTCACATTTTAAACAAGTTTTGACCATTTGCGCTTATTTCACAAGGAACAATAGCGTATCTTTGAAAAACTTATTTCTTGTTCATGATTAAATAAATATAAGTATACTACTCCTAGAGATCAACAATCAACGCAAAGCGTTAACTGATTTGCGATCGCGCACGGTGACTCTCCTCGAAGCCTTTTTATTTTATCACACCCAGGCCATCGGGGTTATTTCTCACAAATGAAAATGTAAAATGTATTGTTTTGTAAAAGATAAAGCCTACCAAAACTCGACATGAAATGCATCCGAAAAAATACTGAAAATAAATTATTTGGATCAGTCACCACTGGACTCGCTTATAGTTTAAATTTTTCTTTATTCACAGCCACGTGCACAAATACATATTTGCTTCAAATATACTGTCCCTATCAAAACTGTGCCTTAAATGTTTCCAGAGGACTAAAACAACTGGTGGGCTGATGGGTAAACTGCTGCTTCGACTCCATCGTTGATAATTGAATAATATTTTAGAAGCTCAACATGTATGATTTAGGCCAAGGTTTCCTGCTGACCTAACTGGAGTTGCCAAGTAAAAATTTCTGTTGTTTGCCTGTTTTCAGTTATAAAAACACCTTTTCTGTAATTCTCATTTCATCGTTTAAAAATGCACGTATATTTTTTCGGTTCATTTTCGGTTAATATGGAAAAATAAATGGCACAGTATTCGAGTACAGAGGCGTTCGTCTATCACGAGTTTTCTTAATTTGCCTTGGAACGGAGTTTTGATGATTTCGGTTTCCATATACTCGTACTATATTGTGAATATTATTTTTAGAGCTTAACATTTTGAACCATTTCTCTGTAGTTGTTACTTTATTAGTCGAGTTGGCAAAGATTTGATTTTTTCCCAGGAAGGAAAGGATAACTCAGCCGTGCGGTATGGCCTGATATGAAACGCCATCCGGCCCTCAGGTTACGCGGTGTTACGTAGAATGCAAGCAGGTTGATATAAACCTAAAGCTACTGATCAACTATTTGATTAGGAGATGTGTGTAAAACTACGTAGATTTTGAAAAAGTTATAGATTTTTTCAGGCAAAGTTTGCCAACGGTCACGAAATAGGTTATTTATGTTAATTTTATTCAAATTGTTATTAACTCGAATTTCGTGTTCGTCATACCTGGTTGAATTTACAGTAAACGCAACTTCTAGACTAAAAATTGTCTGCTTTTTCAAATGAAATAAACGTTGAGCAAATGAAAAAATATTTATCGATGTTTGCCGATACAAAGGAGTTTGTGAGTAGTCACATCAGAAAATTTAAAGGTCCAAGTGGCACTTTATTTTAGTTGAGACATTGATTGACTAATACCGGTAATTTTTGACTGGAAGACATGATTGATCATCCCAGTTATACACTGATAAACATCTTTCATATATTCACTTGAGTCTTTGACTTGGTCATCAAGTTAAGCGAATAAAGGAAAACGAGGTCTACTTACTAAAGCGGCCCCCTCCATCAAAACTCCTTGGAATATTATGAGGTCATATGAAAAAAGGCGCTTACATACCGATCAGCACGTAAGAGTGTCGCCACAAATTTGTGATTTTTCAACGAACGTTTGCTGTTTGCGTTTTTTCCTATCTTTTTTAAGAAAGGCAGTACATTCTTTACCACTCAATTCCCTGAACGAGCAGAGGTAGACATCTATAGAAATCGGTGCTATGAACTAATATTTGAACATTACTGAACATTACTTGTGACTCTAATGCTAAATTCCAAAATCAAAATCTTTCCAGAAGTGTTAAAGGGTAGAGATAAATTGAAAACAAAAATCATAGTATAAGGTTTTCAGTGCATTTCTCTAAAAAGATGCTACAGTGTATAGATGATATTTTTTGACATGTGGAAAAAACATCATCCTCTCAAATCTTACGCCAATAACATTTGAGACTAAAAAGGATAGCAAAGAAGACATTGGAAGTTTGCATTTTATTTTATCTAGAAGAAACCTTGGGTAAATAGAAGTGAAGTCTGAGATGTTAGCATTGCGCGCAATATTTCTTGACCATTTTTGTCGACTCGGTGCGCGCCATAGCTTAGCAAGCCCTCTTTACAGATAAACCCCGACAGTCTGACACGATGGATTTTTTTGGTAGACGTTGTCTTTCAATTAAGTAAACAAAAGTTGTTTTCTTTTTTTAGAACATATGTAAGGAATCGCTGTGAAATGACCAAAACCGATAATAACAGAGACACATCCCTTATGATAAAACTGCGTAGTTCGATAGCCGACAAAGGTTTCCGTTTGTCTTCAGTCATGTTGATGACGTTAGTGACACATTTTCTCTGTTGAATTTCAGCTGATGCGGTTCCGGGCTAACTAATGTTTGGGCCTCATCGCTTTGCTCAGAGTGGTGAACTCGAACTAAATTTTGTGATCGTCATACCCCTGATACCTAGCTGATTTTATAATACGCATTCTATTTGGGTAAAATGAAAAATCAATGTAAATTTTATTTATTGCCTTTTACAGCCGTTCAAAAAGTATTAAAACCGATATTGCTGAGCGTGTTTCAAAAAACACAACTAGATCGTTGTTAATTGAATAATATCTAAGGATCTTATTTAACAAATTAGGCCAAGGTTTTCTGTTGACAGAACTAGAGTTGCACAATAATTTGTCACCTTGTTTGATCTATTTGTCTTTTGTCAGAATTTCGGTGGTTTGCCTGTTTTCAGTTTGCACGGTTGTATTAAAAACACCTTTTCATTAATTCGCTTTTCACCGGTTAAAATTGCATATACGTTCTTTCGGTTTATATGGAAAATTAAAAGGCATTCTATTCGAGTTATAATTTTGAGGCGTTCGTCCGTCACGAGTATGCTTCATTTGCCCCACGGATGGGAGTTTTGGTATTTGTATCCTTACTCGTATCATATTTTGAATATTATTTTCAGAGCTGAGCTATTTGAACCATTTCTCTGTTGAAGAGATTGCAGTTGTTAGATTTAGTCTTATTCACAAAGATTTGCTTTTTTCCGAGAAAGGAAGAGATAACTTAACAACAGTCGTGGGGTATAGCCTGATATGTAACGCCTTCCACAAGGTTACGCGGTGTTGTGTAGAATGCAAGCAGGTCAGTAATATAAACCTAAAGCTCCCCACTATTTGTTTACGAGATGTGTAAAACAACGTAGATTTTGACAAATTTATAAATTTTTTTCAGCGAAATCATACCAACGGTCATGCGAAAGTAAGTTTATCTTAAATTTATTCAAATGTATATTAACTCGAATCGAAGTAAATTTCGCGTTCGTCATACCTGGTTGATTTAACAGTAAACATAACTTCTAAAACAATGTCTGCTTTTTCAAATGAAATAAACATTGAGTAAATAAAAAGAAATTTATTGATCTTTACCGGTACGTACAAACGAGTAAGTAAGTAAGTAAGTAAGTTGTCACATCCGAAAGTTTGGTGGTCAAAGTAGCACTTTATTTTAGTTGAGACATTGATTGATTTGTGATCTTTGACAATTAGTACTATGAAATGATATTTTTGGATTTATATTTAAGTGTAATCATACGTATTCCAATGCTCAATGTCAAAATGAAAAATCTTTCCAGAAGTGTTAATAAATCGAAAACAAAAATCGTACTATGAGGTTTTTAATATCCATTACAGTATACGGTTTTCAATGCTGCAGTGTTTAGCCCGGGTGATGATATTTTTAATTTGTGGAAGAAATGTCGTTTCGTTAAAAAGATTATTCCAACTAGTGACCATTAAAATCGTGCGATTTCGAGACTAGAAAGAACAGCAAAGAAGAGTTTGAAGTTTTTACTGTTTGTGATGTAGTATTTCTTCCTGTCCTTTGTCATTGTTGTTCAACGTCATTTGTTCGGCTACATGCAGAAGAAACAGTCTTTTTCATGTTACAAAATCCTATCAATATTTACTGCGATTAAACAAATTTCACCAGTTACGTCATTCAGTAGATAAATTGCTCCGATTTGAGCTTTACTTCACCAAACCTTTTTGGTTCCAAGAACGACACGTCAACAGTTTGATTGTGTCTGTGCCGGCATAGTGAAGAGCAACATTCTACTCCTCAGAACAAGAAGATGCTGAAGATGTTGTTTGCTTACTTGACTTCGTCCCTGTTGGGTTTGTTTCTCTTTTCCACTGCTGTCGGTATGTTTCACTGAATTTTTTTTCCTCATTTTTTTTTAAGAATCACCAAGAAATGCTGTTAAAATATGCATCTTTCAAGTTAGTCAAGAAAGGGAATTGTAGTAAATCTTCCGGTCATCCTACTTTTTTTAATTCAGTCATAATCATATCTTTGTATGGCGCAAGTACCATACCGCATTTATACCTTCGGTGCAACGTATTTTTCGCACAAGTATTTTTCATTCTCTAACGCTATTTCAAAATCGCACCAAGGGAAATATGAAGTAAAAGGACTCAACTGTTCGCGAAAATTAGAGGGCTTCCTCGTACAGTGTAATTTACTTGAGTAACACAACGAACACTGAGGACACTCACAAAAGCAGGTGGATAGAAAGTAGTGCAATGTGTCAGTAACGTTTTTCTTCATTTTGTTGCTATTCATAGATGCCAAAACAGACGAATTCTTTGAAATGAAGGTTTTCAATCATGACTTTGAAGCCTCTGATTCTGAGATGCATGCAATACTAGAGAAGGCAAACCTCCCAGCCCATGGCTACAAAAAAGAAGTGGTTACCAAACTAGTACAGAATGCTGGTGGTCAAGATTACCAGGCATGATGTCGTTCTCTTTGCATTTGTACAAATGTTACTAATCCTCAGATTGTAATGTATACGTTCGAATAAGTGCAAAATATGGTGACTGCGTCATTATTTGGTGTAATCGTGTATTCTTCCTTGGAAACTCTGGAAGCTGACTCAACTGTTAGTAATGGAGTTGTAATCAGTCATTATTTTGCTTTCCAGAAAGCATACTTCTACTACAAGAGCATCAATTGCTCAAAGATGCAGGAGGTTGAACAAGAATTGGAACGTTTGTTGCCAGGTAAATCGTAAATCCGAGAAATTACGTGTTTGATCTGGATTATTCTAATGCAAATTAATGTTGCTTTTGTAGAACAAGTTTCTTTCTATAAAAATAATAAAATGATCCAAAGAGGCTCACTGGGATATAATAACTGGAGAGTAGGAAAAGGGAAAAGGAAAACCCGACATTTTTGGTTGCATAATCAAACAAATTCACATTTTGTGTATGAAATTGTGCTATTATTTACGTTTCAGATTTATTTCTCAACAATGATACAAAATCATCCTAAATAATATTGTTTTCCTTTACACTTGCAACTTTAAAGTCATGTCCGAAAATTCTAAAGAAAACTTGGCCTTAAAACCTTTCACACTAGGCCTCCAGCTTCGCTACGCGTGGAACAGTGATCTATCCAGAAAAAGCTGTAGTGAGTCCTGGGACTCACACAGCCAGTAAACTACGAGTCCAAGGCCCAAGAGTGTGATTCGAAGGTTAATGAACATGTGTCCCGTACTCTTGGGGACAAAAAACATGTAAACAAAAGTTGGCCATTTGGTGTTCTTGAAGACCAGCATGTCGAAAGAGCGCACTGTTTTGAAAATTCTTGTCTTAGGACACCTTGCTCATTTCGTTAGACTTCTTAGCTTTCGTACAGATTTTACAAAACATGAAATTGCCATCTCTATTATACAACAACCAAGTGTACTTTTTCAGCCACAGCTCGGAAATTTTGCCTCCTTTGGAACTGGAAGGAGTAACCTCTGTTGTCTGATTGTGTCAAATGTGTGCCAGTTCCTGTTAAAAAACAAAATGACCCACCCCAATGGGAAAATGAAAATTGATCGACCCACCCCTTACCAAGGGCTCAAAAACTGATGAACCACCCCTTCTCAGCTCCGCCCACCCACCCTCCCCCCAATACTTTCCGACCAGTTCCTTATGCTGGCTGGATTGACAAGTAAGCATACCCTGTAATTTTTTCGTCCCAGGACCTCCAACTCTCACGACCATGAGATCGAGGCAAAACAAAAAAGAAAGATGTATCGGTCAATAGCAGATTTTCTTGTGCGAGACCGAATTTTCGTAAGTGAGGTAAGTCTCGAACCCAGGCCGATAGATCACTTATCCGGAATCAGTTTTTGCTGTTTTGGCTTAAAATCCCTAACCCCACTAGTATAATGCCCACAGCCCAAACCCACATAAGCAAGTCCATTTTTGGCGCCAAATTAAAAGCTTGGAGACACAACATGTTTCCTATTTTCATTATTTACAATCTGATATGGTTTGGAAATTAATAAACCCGCTTCGTAAATATTGAATGCCGTCTCCAGTGAGAAAGGTTGCCCGACTTGAATGCCATGTGATGTCAGAAAAGCACGTCAGTTTTTCTCGCCGGCTGAAACCTAATTGGTCAATTGAAATTTCAGGCGACCGACTGTGCCACAGGCTCTCCCTTCGGAGGGGTCCCGGATCGTCTGAAAATGAAAGACACGACCCCTACACGGACGGGATTAGAAGCTAATTAGGAAGAAAGTGGAAACATATTCTACAAGCCCAGACATGCCAGACCC